TCCTACACAATTATCACCATGGTATAGAGATGCTAGTTATGGTGGGGTAGAAATTTTATTGCCCACAGTTATAAAACCTAGTGAATTCAACAGGGAAAATAAAAATCCCTTCAATGAAAGACCAATCTCAAGAAATAATCACAGCCATTATCCAGAGTCAGAAAAGGACCATATACATCTTTACAAACTTCTGTTAAGATCCACGGAATGAAGAAACAGAAATAAATTCAAGTAATGCAACCTTAAAATGCTATCAGATATCAAAAATCAGGTAGTTGTTTTTTGGGCAGGAAGGGTTCCTTACTGGAACAGTGGTAAACTGAGACAATTAGGTCAAATACTCTAACAAATACTTCTTAAAGCAAACAAATTCAGGGCAATTTACAATAAAATGTGTGTACATACATACATACGCATACCAGGGTTGTGCAAAACATTAGATACTCTCTCCTTGAAGTAGTGAGACAGAGGAGCTCCAAAGTTTTGAGGGCCTTTCCAGATTATCACTATATTTAAGTGCACAAAGAGCCATATCACTTATCCAGCAGTCATGGCAAAAATTTCATTCTCTGTACACACAGAAAACTTCAGAAAACTCTTAAAACAGGTCCAGAAGGCGGCTTAGGTATTTGAACAACCCAAGTATGTATCTTGAAACATACAAATCATGAATAAAACAAGCAGAAATAACAAATTAAAATACAGGTAGTCCTCACTTACTGACTGCAATTGGGACCCGTAACTCCATCACTGAACAATGCAGTCATAAGGGGAAATGTCACATGACCATGCCAACTTAGGAGATCAGTTCCAGCTGCAGTCGTTAAGTGAATCACCCGTGGTTAAGTGTGATGTCACATGACCACAACTTGTGACTTCCTGCTGGCTTCCCCATTGACTTTGTCAGAAGCCAGCTGTGAAGGTCACAAATGGCAATCAAGTGACCATGTTACACTGCGACTGTCATGTGCGTCAGTTGCCAAGAGCCCAAATCATGATCACATGGCCCTGGGAACAGCTGCAACTTTGATGACTGGTCATAAACCTCCTTCAGCACTGTCATAACTCTGAACAGTCACTGAACAAGCCTTCGGTAAGTGAGGACTAACTGCAGAACAATGAGTTTTAACAGAACAGAATATCATCAAGTTACTTACCATCTATTTTGGTAGTATCTAGCAAATGAAGTAGTATTTTTATCTAAAAGGAAGATGCTCCTGAATTCACAATACCCACTTCCAGAGGAAGAATAGAGGGAAAAAAAATACTGTAACTCAAACAAAAGTTCTGTTCGATACACTGCTCACCTTGTCAAACTAGGGTCCAGCTGAAACAGATCCTAGAAATTCCCCCCAAATGTGTCATTTTTGCCTGCATATACACATCTGCCAGAAACCACACTCCAAAAAAAAGGGGAGGGTCAGAATAAAAACAGTTAATAGCTGTTGATTAAAATTAATTGCCTGTAAAATAAGATATGCCATTTGTAAAATTAATTTATTCTCATCTGCATATGGCACTCATTCTTTCTCACACACAAAAATACACAACTGCACATGCACATTTCCCTTCATCCCAACAGAAAGAGCAGAGAAGAAAAAAAAGAAAAGAACAAGGATGGAGCTATGATAAGAGGAATAAGTGCTGCCCTGCGAAGGGAAAATATGGAACAAGACTGCCTGGAAGGGAAAAGGGACAAAAGAAAGGAAAGAGAAGCTCTGTGTTAAAAATATATATACAATATATTGAAATCCACCAAATAAGCAGTCTCACCCAAGCAAATGCTTGTCTTCAGACTAATCTGCCAATACAACTAGCTTTTCAGCAACAATGTTTGCAGTCCTTTGCACTTCCTGCTTATGACTTTATTCTAAAAAAAGTTTTGAGTTATATCAAGGAATGTAAGAGGATCCCCTCTACTCTCAGGTATTGTTAGGAGTTAAAAAAAACTTTTGTTGGTGCTGAAATAAGAAAATTGGTACTGTAAGTCTCTCAGGGAAGTACATTACAGAAATTGGACAAAAATATTTTCTTCCCTATGACATACTAAACCTATAAAAACTGCAACCTTTTGCTGCAGACCAAATTTTGAGTTTGATTCATTTACTGATCATAAAGCCATTTTATAACCTGCCGTTATACCAAGAGTATCTATTGTAAAAGTTTTCATAGATTTGACTTTAGTTAATGCTATGAAAGTCTGAGTTTCTAACATTAATGTCAATTATTACACTCTACAGATTACATGTTCCTTTGCAATTAAATACCACCACACTAAAAGAATACTGGCCATTCTCTTAACTGTAATGATAACTGCTATTTGAGTATCAAGCTGGTGTTACAAATGTTAAGTACCATTTCCCAGGTGCCACCACCATTTATTGTGTTTGTGAATCCATGACAGTACTGTGTTATTTTACAATAACCCCATTTGGCATCTCCACCTTGCTCGGCCACATACAGAAGGCACAATTACACAACTGGCCTGCAACTAGCCTTAAGACAGAAGATTCTGAATAGAAATCCAACAGCCTAAATTGAAAGCAAAGAGAACTGGATGTAGATTACCAAATGCTCAATCAGCATCTCTTACTCTTCACAAAAATGGCTACTAAGTAAATACATAAATATTGATTTATCATATTAGCATGTGACATGTTTGCAGCAAAGCCAGCTCTTGGTGGCTATTGTAGAATGATTTCCTACTCTGCTACCAGCTAGAGGAGAAATTGTCAGTGACTGCCTTTATTTGCTACTGCACGAAATTCGCCGAACAGTGAATATTACATGTATATGTACTGTATGTATATATATGCATAATACCTACATATTATGTTTAATATGTAGATGTGCTACTCTAAAATAAGCAACTAAACTATTATTCCTAATACATGTCTTGCACATCACTTGAAGCCAGTTCACACATTCATATACTCACTTGGTACTATGTTTTGATCATTATACACATTTAAATGATCATGTAATACTAGTCAGCTGGTGAATATATAAGCAAAAATCACAAGAAAAAGGATGAATAGATTTACAGTTGACATTTGTGAATCAAGTAACTTTTGTGGGATGTACTCCAATCATGATTAGCAACTTTGGCAAAGAATGTGCAATTACAGTTATCCCGTATTAAGCAGAAGAATCATTCTGGACAAGCTAGCTCCTTTAAGATCCCTTCAAATACACTGGATTAACATTTTCTCCATATAAAATCAGCACAATGGCTGAAAATGGTGAAAACTGTAGTTCAGCATATCCAGACAGCTACAGATCAGTGAAGGCTCCATTTACCTCCTTACGGCAGAAATAAATAATGGTGTCAGTAATCACCAAAGCTGTGCCTACAAAACAGCATATGAGCAGGTAAATAACTGCATATTCTCTCGCTGCAGAGTTGAAAGCGGTTCATTACTCCACCTGCCTAATTACCAATGAAGAAAACAGGCCCTGGCTTCAGGGCAAACGCTGGAAGGAAAAAAGAAAACCAAATTTGCTTAGCGAGCAAACCTAAAAATGGGTCAATTTCACGCTGAGCCACCATACCCACTGACTAATCAACATCTCTTAACTTAACCTCCCTCGCAGGATTGTTGTGCGCAGGAAACGACCACAGCGTTGTTCTCCTTGAATAAAAAACGGAATATATCTTTATACTGAGCTGATGCTTCCTCCTCCAGCCAACGCGTCGACACAAAACAGTTAAATCGCGGCCCTGCGAATTTCACTCGCCTTCTGGGAAAGAACAACACACCTCCCCGTTAGAAGGCCCTACTCCTCAGATACTCACCGTTTTACTACGCCTGTTTTTATTTTGATCTGTCTGACGCGAGGGTCGGCCATGGGGGAGACCGGGGGAGTAACTGAAAACGTTTGGCAGCGACGAAACGAAACGCTGACACAAAACCGGCAACAAGGGAAGAAAAACTCAGCCACCAACAGCACAACAGCGTTCAAACAGTAAAGCGCATGCGCGAAATAAACGGCCGCACTTGGAATACAAACTCCGCCTCGCAGTGGACTGTACCACTGAAGAAGGGGAGAGGAAGATAACTTAGAGGCAGGAACAAAGATGGATAATCTTTGGGAAATAAGGTTCCTCCAGCTGGAGCTGTTCTACTGCAAATCTCGTCCTGCCCAAATAAGAAAGAAACGGCTCTCTTGCAGAGGAGCAGTTTGATGTTGCAGAGTCCCAAATCTCACCCCACTAGTAATAAATCGCCGTGGAGAAACAAAGTCCTCATACCAAGCCGTTGTTTGCTGAATCATGATTTGTTAGCAGTGTTTCAGTGGCAGAATTCACTCATCATCAATCTAAAGTTGTAAGCAGGATCCTAAATGCAAATAGAATAATTTAATTTTGGCAATGGCAACAATAACTCAAGAACTGCAAGCAGTGTATTTAGAATTGTCTTGCTTTTAAAACCTCTTTGTTCTATTTTTCACTTCTGTACATCATGAAGGATTGAAGGCAAAAGGAGAAGAGGACGGCAGAGGATGAGATGGTTAGA